TCCAACCCAGCCCTACAAGACCCCCCGTAACGAGGCGCCCTCCGCGGCCCCCCCAAAACCCCCTCGTCCAGCGAGGCGGGTTTCCCTTGGAAATAAGGGGGAGGCGGCGGAGGGGGTCCGGGGGGTCCAGGGGCTGGGGGGCCACGGTCGTATTCTTCGAATGAGAATTGGAGGCGTAAACCCGGCAGGGCCAAACGTCGGGCCCTGCCACCCTCACTGCGCAGCCGCTCGAATTTCTGAGCCATGCGGTAACGCCGGAAGGCGGCCTGGATGGTGCGGGCGGCGCGGCGCGTGCGGAAATAGCCGCCATATTTGCGCTCCAGCATCTCCACCTGGGGGGGGGGAGATTGAGGGTGCGGGGGGGGGGGGGGAGAGGGTTAGGGGTGACGGGGAGGGAGGTCACGGGGTGGGGAGTGGGGGATTTGGGCTCTCTGTAGGGCTATTGGGTGGTGGATGGGGTCGTTGGGTCATGGGTGGGGTCAGTGGGATGTGGGAGGGGTCCGTGGGAAGCAGGGGGGATCATAAGTGGGGTCATGGGTAGGGTGATGGGGTGATGGGGGATGTGGGGTCAGAGGCTGTAGGGTGGGGGCTTTGGGCTGTCGGTGGGATGACTGAGTGATGGATGGGGCCGTTGGGTCTTGAGTGGGGTCAGTGGGATGTAGGGGGGGTCATGGGTGGGGTCGTGGGGACTTTGGATGGGATCATTGGGTGATGACCATCATACGGGGTCATTGACCACCATATGGGACTGAGGACCACCATATGGGGCCAATTACCACCATACGGGATTGATGAGCAACATATGGGGCCAATGATTACCGTATAGGGTCATTGACCACCATATGGGATTGATGACCACCATATGGGGCCGATGACCACCATAGGGGGCCGAGGACCACCATAGGGGGCCGAGGACCGCCAGCGACCCCCCACCCCGTACCTTCTTATCCTGTAGATCGGTGGAGAGCTCATAGCTGTCGCTCAGAGCCTTCGGCCTCTTGCTCTCCTCCTCCTCCTCCTGCTTGCGCAGCGCCACGCTGGCAGGTTGGGGGGGCAGCCGAGGCCAGGCCACAGCCGGAGACCCCCCACCCCCACCAGGACCCCCACCGGGACCCCCCCCAGCATTCTGGGGAGTGGGTTGAGGTAAACCACGGTATGGGGGGGGATGGCTGGGACTGTCGGGAACGGGAACTCCAACGTCGCTGCCCGGCACTTCGCCATCCACACTATGGGGGGGGCATGGGGGGGTCAGCAATGCTGGCAGATGCCCCCAGACCCCCCCTCCAGGGACTCCCCAAAATCCCTCCAGAGACCCTTGAGACCCTCAGAACCCCCCATAGGCCCCCACAGACCCCTTATGTCTCCTCAGAGACACCCAGAATCCCCCCAGAGACCCCCCGATAGACAACCAGAATCCACCTGGAGACACCAAAGACCCCCCCCAAATCCACCCAGACACCCCCAAAATCCACACAGGGGCCACCAGGGACCTCAAAAATCCACCCTAAGACCCCAAAGACCCCTCAAAATCCACCAAAAGATCCCGAAGACACCCCAGAATCACCCTAGAGACCCCCACAATCCATTTAGGTACCACCAGGGACCCCCAAAAATCCAACCAGAGACCCCAAAGACCCCCCAGAATTCACCCAGAGACCCCCCAAATCCACTCAGGGACTGCCAGGGACCCCCCAAAATCCAGCCAGAGATCCCCCAAATCCACCCAAAGACCCCCCAGAATCACCCTAAAACCCCCAAAATCCATTCTGGGACCACCAGACCCCAAAAATCCACCCAGAGACCCCAAAGACCCCCCAGAATCACCCTAAAACCCCCAAAATCCACCCAAAGACCCCCAAAACCCGCCAAAATCCACCCAAAGACCCCCCAAATCCAAATATGAAGGGATATGAGGCCAGTGGGACAGACAGAAATGGGGACAGACAGACAGATGGAGGAGTTTGGGGGTGAGATTTGGGGATTTGGGGGTGGAATAAAGGGGATTTTAGGTTAAGAAATGTGGATTTTGGGGTCAGACTGAGGGTTTGGGGTGGAATGTGGGGACTTTGGTGTGAAAGATGGGGATTTTAGGGTGGGATGTGAGGGACGGGAGAAATAAGGGGATTTTTGAGTGGAATAAGGAGGTTCTGGGGAAAGGTGGGGATTTTAGGGTAAGAAATGAGGGTTTGAGGGTAGAAAAAGGGGATTTTGGGGTGAGAAATGGGGATTTGGGGGCACAATAAAGGGATTTTAGGGTCAGAAATGGGGATTTCAGGGGTGAGAAATGGGGATTTGGGGTGGGATGTGAGGGGTTGGGGTGGGATATGGGGAATTTAGGATAGGGGTTTGGGGATGAGAAATGGGGATTTGAGGATAGAACAAGGGATTTTAGGTTCAGAAATGGGGATCTGGGGGTGGAAAAATCGGATTTTGGGGTGAGAAATGGGGATTTGGGGTGGGATGTGAGGGGTTGGGGTGGGATGGGGGGGGTCGGATGGGGTCCGGGGGGGGCCCCGACTCACCCGTGCAGCAGTCGCTGCCGGAGCGGCCCCCTCCGCCGGTCGGCGGTGCATTGCAGGCACCACATTTTGGGGTGGAATTGAACGGATTTGGGTTTTTGTTGTTTGTTTATCTGTTTGTTTTCGGGTAATTTTAATAAAATCGAAGGTTCGTTCTTTTTTTTTGTTTTTTTTTTTTTTAATTTTTATTTTTTGGGGAGGGGGGGG